TTATTTATTTATTTATTTGATTGATTGATTGATTGATTGATTGATTGATTGATTGATTGATTGATTTATACCCCACCTATCTGGACCACTGGACCACTCTAGGCGGTTTCCAATATAAAATCAGACAATAAAAACACAAACAAATACATAATAATACAAAACAACTACAATAAAATAAAAAATAGGGAAAATAAGAAAAAGAAAATCAAAATATGTAACAAAATATTTGTTACATTTATATGCTGCTTCTCCTTCAAGGAGTTCATTTCCCCCACTTGATGCTGTGAACGATCCTGTGAAGCAGACCAGGCTCTCCATGGTCATCCATGAGATTTTTATGGATATCCTGGACTACCAGAAGGGGGTCCTAGATCAAATCAAGCCTGAATTCTCTCTGGAGCCAAAAAGGTCAAAACTGAGGCTGTTGTACTTTGGGCCGATCATAGGAAGGTGATATTCTCTGGGAAGGTTGACGGTAGCAGGAGAAGAGGAAGACCCAACAGGAGATGGATTGATTCCTTAAAGGAAGCCACATTCTTGAATCTGCAAGAGCTGAGCAGAGCTGTTGAGGACAGGAGATTTCTGAGATTGCACATTTGTAGGATCACTATAAATGGGGGAGGGTAACTTGACAGCACATAACAATAACATCAGCCAGTCATCCAGCAAGCTCTGCAGCCAACTGAGACATTGAACCCAGATCTAATTCCTGTCCATATCCACGTAGTTCAAGTTAAGGAGACAGCCATCCTTGCGACCTATCTCAAGTTCCAAAGTCCCTACCTTGAATGCATCTGTCATCACCGTTCCCAACCCTGTGCCCTCCAGATGGGTTGGAATAGCACTCCCTGGCTTGACTGGGGCTTTTGGGAGTTGTAGTCCAAGCCAACAAGTTGGGAAGGGGTTGATCTACATGGATAAAAGGCTGGCATTGGACACCTGGGAAAAGAAATAAAGAGAATAACAGTGACCATGTTAGTTGAGCCAGCCATGTGGCACATGTGGTGGCTTCGTTCCATCTGGAGATGTGGCTTTCAGAGGGACTTAAATGGAAGCCTATCCAAGGATTTTTGTGTGTGTGTGCGCGTGGGGGAACTGATCTTAGGGGGTGTCTCAAGTGAAAATGCACATCCTTGTTCAAAGTGGACTGAGCTGGTAGGACAACTGAGAATGGGAAGCAGAAAATGAAGAAGGGTGTTTGACTTCCAGGACAACAGAGAGACATGGAGAACTTTGTGACACCCATGGAAAAAGGATAGGTTGCTATTTGTTCAGAGGTTTTCATCTCCACAAGGAGAGTTCAAAGCAACCTCCTAAGGTTTATTCCCATTTTATGGATGGGGAATTGGGGTGTGTGTGTGACTTACCGTAGGATTGGTGTCAACAGCAGAGAGAATCTACTAGTTATGGCACAATGGATGGTCAAGGTGAAAGAAGAAATCAACATCCTTTGGTTTTCTCCTGGAAAGCCGGCATCTGCTACATACAGGCAGCGAACCCCTCCTCCCCCCCCCCGCAACTGCCTTAAATAATTAAATCAGCAAACTTGTCCAGCTCACTCCTTAACCCATTGCCATTAGGAGGAAACTGTAAGGGGAATATGTGCCCAAATTTCAAAATAATTCCACCCCCACCCCATCGGGAGACACAAATTGCAGACCCGCATCTAGGCCACCACAATTGGTCCTTGTTTCTCAAAGGGTTTTTCTTAAAAAAGAAAAGAAAGAAAAGAAAAGGGAGAGGGAGAGGGAGAGAAAAAGATACCCTTTCCCCCCAGGAAATAAATGGCTGTTTCAACCAAAAAGCAAAAGCAAAACCTATTTCTATGTTTACTGAGGATATGTGGCAATATTTAGGAAAACTGAGCTCTGTCCACTTTGGGGGGGGAGGGAAGCAAAACTTTAGAAATATTTCATCATAACATTTTTTCATCATAAGGGTATTAATACTCAGAAACCTACATTTGGAATAGATGGATTTCTCTCTCACTCACAAGGC